GCCCTTTGAGACGGCCCAGGGCAAGGTGCACTGCCAGCAACTCGAGGCAGTTGATGTGCCAGTGCAGTTGGGGCCCCGTCCAAACCCCTGATACTGCAAGCCCGTTGTACGTGGCCCCCCAGCCGGTGGTTGAGGCATCCGTGCAAACCACAGCATGCCTGGAGACCTGCTCCAGGGGCACTCCTGCCTGGAGGAACGCAAGGTCTGACCACGAGGTGAAGGTTTGGCGGCATGCCGGTGTCACTTGGACCCGGAAAGTGCCGCCTTGCCACGCCCACCTCGGGACTCGGCCATGGAGCCAGTGCTGCAGCGGTATCATGTGGAGCAGCCCCAGCGGCGTGACTGCCGCCGTGGCTGCCATATGCCCCAGGAGCCTCTGAAACTGTTTCAGTGGGACCGCCATCCTGCTCTTGAATGTATTCAAGCAGTTCAACACCGACTGAGCACGTTCATGGCGCTCCTGGACCACCATAGTGGACATCGCACGACCCAGAGACCGCGCCGTAACCTTCGTCGCTCGTAGCGTGAGGTCCGTCGTGGTGCGGAGCTCCATGAGAACTTCCGGGTCATGACCACCCTCGTGCAAGTTCCTCAGTGCCTTGGCCTGGTGTACTTGCAGCAATGCCGAAGCGTGCAAGGCAGACGCAGCTTCTCCACAGGCCGTATACACACTGCCGATCAGAGCCGACGAGTGCCTACAGGCTCGGGAGGGGAGCAACGGTTTGCCCCGCCAAGCACCGCTGGCCGCCCAGAGGGCGGCAACGCTGACAGATCTTCATCTCCAGAAAAGTCTGACTCACCCTCCGATGCTGCGATCGACATCCGATCGTCGGGGGGAGCCTCGGAAGAAACAGGTGGTATCCCCCGGGAGGATCCAGCTTGCTCTCTCGAGGGCTCCGCTGGCTTCGAAGTGCCGGCTGGTTCGGGCATCCCCTTCCTTGTTGGAGGGGAATTCCTCACCGTGACTGTGAGACCAGTCCGCCCACTGCCAGAAAAAGGGTACCCCTGGCTGCCACCAGAGGGAACCCCAGCTCTAGGCAGTGGCACGGGCACTCCGCCCCCTTGCAGGTAACGGAGTCTGGTCCGCAACTCCGAGATGGATGTTTCATCATCCATGAAAGCCGCCTCAGCGTGCTTCACGCCCAGGCACGAGAGGCAGCGATCGTGACCATCACCCGGCGCCAGGTAACGACCGCACCCAGAAACACAACTTTAAAAAGACGCGTCTTCAAAAAGACGTTCGACCCATGAAGCTCTTTTAGTATGGAAAATTGCTCTTTCAGTGGGCTGAAGCGCACAGGGGAGATGGCCATCTGCAACACACACAGGGGTAGTGCAGCCTGCTGTGTGCAACCCACTCGACACGGGAAAACCACTGCCGCTGAAGCGCCGTACCACCAGCACGAGAGCCCACAAAGAGCGTGCTTGACTTGTAGTCTTTACTCTCTACTCGTAGAAGGTCAGGAGCAGAACGATAGAACCGCTCGGCTCCTCAGCGAAAACCTGAAAATGCGCTGCATCTGCTGCCTACTTATACTCACGCTGTGATCAGCAGCAGCTGGATGCAATAATCGCATGCCAATGTGCATTGGCTCGTTTAGTTTACACTCGAAGTGGATTGGTCTCTCTAAGCGAGATCCCAATTTCGTCGGTCATCCGACGTGACGTCGAGAGTGACCGACTGAAAGTGAACACCCTTATGCTCACCAAGGCTGCATTTATTTGATCAAAAATAACATTATTACAATTAAAAATAACTGTTTCAATTTGAATATATTTTAAAATGTAATTTATTCCAGTGATGCAAAGCTGAATTTTCAGCATCATTACTCTTCAGTGTCACATGATCCTTCAGAAATAATTCTAATATGCTGATTTGCTGCTCAAGAAACATTTCTTATTATTATCAGTGTTTTTTATGTTTTTTTTTCAGCATACTTTTATGACAATTCAAAAGAAAAGCATTTATTCAAAATGGATATTATTTTGTAACATTATATTTATCATTATGTCTTTATTGTCACTTGATCAATTTAATGGGGCCTTGCTGAATGGAATTATTATGAATACAGCCTTTATTTGAAGCCTTCATATATAATTAATTCTAAGTGAATTTTTAATGCATTACTCGTGCCTTGTAATGCACCTTATAATGCATAGTTTGAGATCATGAATAATTGTAAACACAGATAGTACTTTATAATACTCATCTATTCATTGCTACACCTTTAGAAACTATAATGCTTTAAAATACAAACAACCAGCTTCAGATGTAACAAGGAATCTACAAATATTATAATGCATTTTAACTTTAGTTCGAATTATACATGAAAAGATATAATACCTTACCATGTACATTATAAATAAATATGCATTATATATACAGGCTTCAAGTAAAGTGCTACCAAAATACTTACTGACCTCCAATGAATTAAACCATGAATCTGTCTCTGTTTCTTCAGTTTGTGGCTCATCCTAACTGCCAGCAGCAGTTGCTGACGATCTGGTATGAGAATCTGTCTGGTCTTCGGGAGCAAACCACTGCAGTCAAGTGTCTGGTGGTTTTGGTGGTGGCGCTGGGACTCCCTCTGCTAGCTGTGGGGTATTGGTTTGCCCCGTGCAGTAAGGTAAGACACATTTAAAAACTATCAAAACATGTCTAGGTCCTACAGTACTGGTTTAGACACACCTGTTTATTAGTATAGTCTATTTTAGGAATATTTTCTTTGCATATGTGAACTTTGTTAAGTCACTTTTGTTGCTATGATGGTTCTTATAGTTAACTAAAACTAAAATTAAAATGAAAAGTATTTAAAAAACAAATGTTTGGTACTTGAAATCAAATAAACATTAACTGAAAAAAAAGAAGTTAATAAGTTTAAGTAGTTATTTAGTACAGAGGGGTCATATGATACGATTTCAAGTTTTCCTTTCTCTTTGGAGTGTTACAAGCTGTTCGTGAATAGATAAGATCCCTAAAGTTGCAAAGACTAAAGTTACAAACCCAAAGAGATATTCTTTATAAAACTAAAGACTTATAAAACGCCTCTTTTAAACACGCCCCCACATGTCTACGTCACTGTGTGGGAAGATTTGCATAACGCCGCCCAAATGTTCACGCAAAAAAAGAAAGCGTAACTTTGATTCTCGCTGTAGTATTGTTGCTGCCACCGCCGCCATGTCGTGGAGACGCTGTGTGTTTTGTTGTGAAAGCGAAACTACTTTGTTTGGCCTTCCAAAAGAGGACACGACTAGAAATCAGTGGTTAAGTTGTATTTACAACACTGTTCCAGAACAGTTCAACCTAAATATTCAGATGTGTGCAGCGCATTTTACATAGGACTGTTTCCTGAACCTGGGAAAGTAGCCTACAATGCCATCTACACACAAAGGCTGTTTCTATAAAGTGGGGCAGTTCCAACTTTGCAAGGACAGTCTGGATCTTCTGACTCACAGATTGTAAGTACGTTTTCATATTTAAAGGATTTGCCACTGATGATTCAAACACAAGTTTTGAGCAGTGTAGAGTAGGGCTTGTTGTTTGTCGTTTCTCCGATCACAAATGCAGACATGGTTTTATGTTTACGCGGCGCGATGCAACACGTAAAAAGACAGTATAAGTCATTATAATCAATAATTATGTCCCAACTGGATGCAACAAATCCCTCGTTTATAGTGGGTTTTAATGTTTTTGTCTCTTCGCTCTGGTGAGGGGTGTAACATTTCCGTCACACGCTTGAGGTGTTCAGCCAATCACAATGCACTGGATAGCTGGCCAATCCCAGCACACCTCACTTTTCAGACCGATGAGCTTTGTAAAAATCAACGCCTTTCAGAAAGGCGGGGCATAGAGGAGAAACAATAATGTGCAGTATGTGGAAAATGTGTTTTTTTAACCTTAAACTGCATAAACACATTGCATTACACCAAATACACAAAATAATGTTATTTTTAGCAACATCATATGACCCCTTTAAACTAAATGAAAAAGAGAACTATTTCCTTGACAAAAGTTTTTTTTTTATGGTTTTAGTTTTAGTTAGCTATAATAACCCTGGTAATACGGTGACATATTTGCAATTTATAAATTATAAAAAGTCTTATTTTGTTGGAATACACAACTATTTTGGAATACATAACAATTTTTGGATTGCTGCTATCACTTTATTTCCCTGTCCAGTTAATTTAAAAAAAACATTTTTTGTTACTTGAAATAAAATAAACATAAACTGAAATAAAATTAAATATAAAAAACTTTTTATTCAGCTATATTTGCCAAGGCAACATTTTTCATATTAATTTAGTTTAACTAAGATAAGAATGATTTCAAAACTATAGAGACATGCAGTGTATTGAAAAAAAACACAACAAAATTACTGAAATTTTAAAATTAAAATTAAAACAGAAAATATAAAAATAAAAACGAATTTAAAATATTTATAAAAACTATAATAGTATCTCTGATAATAAAATAACACTGCTATCTACAGTATCTGCCATGTTTAAGATGCATGCAAAGCTTCTCTGTAGAAAACAAAGATTATTAGAGTTTTACAAATGTCAGTCTTTCTATTTCAAATTTCACATTTAATTCATTGTGTTATTTACCATTTCCTTGTAATTATTTGAGAAATTTACTAGCAATTGCTGAGTGAAAATTGTTTCAAAGTAAATTTTACAATTTCTTTTTCCAGTATAATGAGTCTGTGCTTGTTATTCAACACGTCTGTTAACCTTTTCCATGTTTTTTTTCAGCTTGGTAAAATACTACGCAGTCCTTTTATGAAGTTTGTTGCTCATGCGGCCTCCTTTATCATCTTCCTGTGTCTGCTGGTGTTCAATGCGTCCGATCGGTTTGATGGCATCACCACCCTTCCCAACGTCACCGTCACCGACTACCCACTCCAGATCTTCAGAGTCAAGACCACACAATTCACCTGGACAGAAATACTGATCATGGTCTGGGTAGCAGGTAATGCTCCAACATTTGTAATCAGTATTATTTAATTTATATGATCTCAGTACTGCATGATCTCTTTGTTCAACTAGCATTTAGACCAAAAGAGATTTGCTATAGATATTTGATGAGAATTTAATCTCATTACTGTCAAGGAGAAGCTATTGAGAGATTGAAGAGATCTCATTTGTGGTTGTTCTTTCATGTATAAAATTGTCAGTGTTAGTAGTACGGGACATTTATTCAAGAGACTAAAGTGTTTCTTCGCTGCACTGTCAGAAATAGAGTTCCTCACTTCAGGACCAAAGCAGGATGATCAATGAACCTTTCAAACGTTTCGACCTGATAAGACCGATAGAGAGTTTGAGTGGATTAGAGCCAATGTTCTCTGAACTGACTGAAAATAATGTGTTTCCTTAAACACTCATTTCCTTCCAGATCAGTGCTGGGTAGTAACTTTTTGAAAGTAGTGTCATTTGTAACAGTTTTCAGTAGCATTACAGTAGTTTTTCCATTAACAAAATGCTGTTACCAGCAAGTAGTGTGCTAAAACGTTACTGTATATATCACTAATGTTTGTGTCACAGTGTAATTTACAAAAAAAAAACTGTTTACTAAAATTGTGCAGTATTATTGCAATTTAAAGTAACTGTTTTCTGTTTAAATATATTTTAAAATGTAATTTATTTCTGTGATGCAAAGCTGGATTTTCAGCATCATTACTCCAGTCTTCAGTGTCACATGATCCTTCAGAAATCATTCTAATATGATGATTTGCTGCTCAAGAAATTATCTTATTATCAATGCTGAAAGCACTGATGATGCTTTATTTATTTATTTAGTTAGTTGTTTTTGGAAACAGTAATACCTGAACTAGTTTGTAGCTTATCTCTGAGGACATTTCAAGGCACTCACTTGAAAAAAAACACAAAACAAGCAAACAAACACTGTTGTTCAGCATATTATTCTTGAGTCATTTAAAATGAGGCATGTTCATTCATCACTGTCGCATTTAGAAAGGCTCTACTAATGAAAGGCTTTTTGCAGGCAATGCATCACTGAGAGGGTGAACCGCAGGTTAGATTGGGTTTAGAACATTTTCCCATTTTGTTTGTGGTTCGGAGAGTTCACCCACGCTGAGTTCACCTCATTACATTTGGTGTAAGAAAATGTTTTGCTGTTTCAGCAGGGACAAGATGCTGGGGTAACGCATTAGATGATGGAAACTGATACATGTTGCATGCCATGTGATGTTTGCATCTGTTATTTTTCATTTTAAGAGGTGATTAAGAGTTTTTATGTAGTTTTTATTATTTATTATTTATTTTTTTCATCCTCTAGGTTTGAAATTGAGTTGAACAGTCAGCGTCACCAAATATGATGTGCTGTTGCTGCAATGTCTCTTAATAATTCATGACACCATGTGACTTTTCCTGAGTGTTTGCTTGCATGGTGCAAAAAGCCAAAAGTGTTGCTTGGCTTCCACCTGGATAGTGACAGATTGACAGGTTTTCAGTCAGTGGCAACACCTTTGAAATATTAGAGTGTAAATGCCATCCTTACTGTGCTTGTGTTAACCGATCAAACCTGCTCTGACTGTGGAAGTGACCATGCGTGTCCATTAGTAGTTAGTCCATTAGTAGTGTGACTTTTTTTTAAAACAAGTACACACTACAAGCCTTGAGTCATGTGGTGTGACTAGTTACTTGAAAAAAGTAATCTGATTACGTAACTCGCGTTACTTGTAATGCGTTACCCCCAAAACTGGCGCTAAGCTTATAATTACTTTTTTTACGCATTTGATTTCCGCTTATGGTTAATTACATCTTTTTATTTTTAAGAAACATTTTTAAATGTACACATTTTTTAAAACCTTTATTTATTTATATTTTTTTCAAGTCTAGTCATTTAAACATTGTTTATAATTGATGAGGTGATGTGTAACATAATAAAAGGCGTGTGCATTCCGAATGTTTGCTCATACTGTGTTTTCAGTATGTTCATTCATAGTGTGTTTTTAGAATGTTTGTTCAGAGTGTGTTTTTAGAATGTTTGTTCAGAGTGCATTCAAAATGTTCATTCATAGTGTGTTCGGAATGTTCATTTCAAGTGTGCAATCAGAATATGTGTTGGTTTATCGAGTGTTTTTAGAACATTCATTGATCGTGTTTTCAGAATGTTTGTTAAAAGTGTGTTTTTAGATTGTTTGTTCATATAGTGTGTTCAGAAAGTTCATTCAAACTGTGCGTTCAGAATGTGTGTTCAGAAAGTGATTATAGTGCTTATACAAGTGTAACATTGGGGAACTGTGTGTGGGAAGGTTCAGTATATTGTGGTGATGGTTGAGGTCTCAGCATGATTCTTCTGAACCTGAACCCCTGACCTTCTCCCTTCAACACAACCTCTTGTCACTGTTCTCACTGATTCGTATGGCTTCTGCTGCAATAAAGCATTTAGTCTTTTTTTGGTAGTTTTGGAGATTAAAATTTCCTTTCCATCCCAGCATGCTTTCAGTGTGAGAGTGAATTGAGTGAAGTATTTTTATTACTTGAATTTCCTTTGGAATCTTTCTAACTTAAAATAAAAAATATAATTCAAATGTAGTTCATCATTTTAACAGTATTCGCTGAGGCTCCATCGTAATTTTCCTATCAGACTGTGTTCTCCTCAGGCTCTTTGATTTGTCTGATTAATTCTCTCTCTCTCTCTCTCTCTCTCTCCTCATCTCTTTTGTCCTTATATGATATCTCATATGAAAACACATTGAGTTCACTCCACAATCAGTTGTGCTGTTTTGTCTATAGAATAGAATTTGTAAAATTTTTAGGTAACATATTATAGGTTTTCAGTAAATACATTTACATAGTGAAATTGCAAAGTTCATCAATATGCTGATTATGTTTAATCAATATGCAAATGTAGAATTATTAAAAGTAAGAAATAAGCTTATTTCTATTTTCAACCACACAACATACAATACTGGTATGAGCTCCTGCTGTGTTGACCATCAGAACGCCTCTGTTTTCTGCAGGAATGATGTGGTCGGAGTGTAAGGAGCTCTGGACGGAGGGTCCGAGGGAATATGTCATGCAGCTCTGGAATGTGCTGGATTTCGGCATGCTCTCCATCTTCATTGCGGCATTCACCGCCCGTTTTTTCGCCTTCCTGCAGGCCATGAAAGCCCAGAAGTATGTGGATGAGAAGATCCATGCTCCAGACCTCTCAATGGTCACGCTGCCGCCGGACATCAAATATTTCACATACGGTGAGAGAGAATCTGAGCACTGCTCTGTTTCAAAGAGAATGGTAACTGAAATAAATATTTAACTTTTTTTTTTTTATTTCATCAGGTTGCCAATTTTCATTTTCATTTAGTTCAATGTGATGCAGTAAAATAACTAAACCAAAATCAACTAAAACTAATAAATAGACATAATAAATAGAAACTAATAAATAGACATTTATAAAAACTATGTAGACATATAAAAAATAAAAAAACACATACACACAAAACCCAACAATATTACAAAAAAATTAAATAAAATTACAGTAAAAACAGAAATTATAAAAATAAAATCTAATTCAAAATATTAACAAAAATGATAATGGTATATCAGTGATACTAAATTAACACTGGACATCTGTGGATAAACACTAGTTTAGCTAATATTAAGTCATTTAGAGGCAGCTAACTACCTAATACTTCCTTTCTACATGTGCAATTTCCTGTTCTTTCAGCGAGAGACAAGTGGCTTCCATCGGATCCTCAGCTGATCTCTGAGGGTCTGTACGCCATTGCTGTGGTCCTGAGCTTCTCTCGCATCGCCTACATCCTGCCGGCTAACGAGAGCTTCGGGCCGCTGCAGATCTCACTGGGACGAACAGTGAAGGACATCTTCAAGTTCATGGTCCTCTTCATCATGGTCTTCCTCGCATTCATGATTGGCATGTTCATCCTCTACTCCTACTACCTGGGGGCAAAGGTTAACCCCGCCTTCACCACGTGAGTGACATGCACGCACTGCAATGTATATTGAGGAAAATATAAAAATATGTGTAATTAGGGATGAGTACAACTACATATTTTCAAATGCACTAGTTGAGTTAACCAGGTATAAATAGTTTAGTTCATGTCTACCAAGGGACATGCCGAGAGTTCCTCAGGGGCAGGGGCCCAAATGTAAAATCGGGGCAATATTAAAAAAAAAAAAATATATATATAATAGCAGACAGTAACACAAAAATAATATCAGTCACAGCCTAATAATGCAATAGTGCGTTCTGTATTAGAATTTTTCAACAAATATATTGTACTAATTTTGACATTTAGGCGCTTTAGAAAATGTGTTTTAATAGGCCTACACTACCAGTCAAAAAGTTGATCAGTAAGATTTTTAATGTTTTTTAAAGATGTCTCTTCTGCTCACTAAGCCTGCATTTATTTTATCCAAAATACAGCAAAAGTAGTAATATTGTGAAATATGTTTACTATTTAAAATAACTGCTTTTATTTGAATATATTTTAAAATGTCATTTATTACTGTGATTTCAAAGCTACATTTTTAGTATCATTACTCCAGTCTTCAGTGTCACATGATCTTTCAGAAATAATTCTAATATTCTGATTTGCTGCTCAAAAAAACATTTATTATTATTATTAAGAAGAATAATAATATTTAAATTATTATTAATAAGAGGTTCCAAAAAAAATAAAAATAAATAAGCATAAATAATAATAAATAAACTGTTTCCAACACTGTAATAAATCAGCATATTGTGATTTCTGAAGGATCATGTGACACTGAAGACTGGAGTAATGATGCTGAAAATTCAGCTTTGCATCACAGGAATAAATGATAATTTTAAGTACATTAAAACAGAAAAAAAAACATTATTTTAAATTTTAATAATATTTCACAATATTAAATTTTTTTCTGTATTTTTGATGAAATAAATGCAGGCTTGATGAGCATAAGATACTTTCATAAAGTTCTTTCATGTCACAATTCCGCCAGTCTACACTTCACACAATAGGCCTGTAGGTGGCACTTGGGCTTCATTAACTATGATAGTTTCATGAAATAGTAAAAGGTGTATCAAATACATAAATACAAGTGAATTGAACACTGCTTACCATTAATGCGACTTTTGGTGCTGCATGGTTTTGTGCAGTGCTTTGTAGTCAGTTAGCATCCATTTTCTCAGCGATGCAATTTGATTTATAAAATGAGACAAACCGCAGATCCAGATTGCTCCACAAATGTAGGTTCGTCTGTCCATGTAATTTTCAACCAGAACGGAAAATTACTGCTCCACTTCACATTGTTCAATGGAATTTGAACATGTTGTGCCAGATCATGATTGGTTGGTGTATTATACATGACAAACAGGCATTGATGATTTATGTAATATTCTAAAATATATAATATATGGATTTTTAATTAAATCGACACATTAACTTTGATTATTGATGAAAAAAAAGTTTCGACCCATAGGCACTCACTGAAAGAACCAAATATGGCTCGAGAGCCTAAATTTGTGGAATATCAGTCAGTCAAGCAAAACACATTCAACCCATAGTAACGTGTTATGGCAACACCTCAGACTGACAGATACGTAAAAATAAGCAGGAATTTTCCAACTTTTGAGCGATTCGTTACTGTTTTGTACACATTGTCAATTTAATTCTAATTCAAATGCATTTTTTGATTAATTTTGAAAAAGGGCAGGGGCTCGAGCAATCAAAGCACCCATACTATGTGTGTGTGTGTGTGTGTGTATGGTATTGTTATTGTTTTTATTTAGCAATTAGTTTTACAAAAATATTTAAAATATAAAAAAATAGTTTTTGTAAAAATATTTTTAAATGACTTTTAATGAATTTATTTATTTATGTTTATTTTTTATTTATTTTTATACATTATTTTAAAATCTTGAAGAAAGTAAGATTATAGACAGCTTAATTCAGGTGAATTCATTTCAGGCCTATCAGACCGTATAGGACACATACTTGCGCTAACAAAAATTATTATTGATAAAACAACAACAAAAAAAACAATCAAGATATACTAACTAGTAAACCTCAGAAAATGACTAGTCCGCTGTTGAAATGACCATCCTGACCAACTTAACACATTTCTAAATACTTTACAGCAATTACTTTAAAAAATAATAATTTTGTTCTGATGATGTCCAAAAATACTGCCCATCAATTAATACACTACAAACTTATCCATAAGGCTTATGCTACTCCTTATGTGTTACATAAAATGAAATGCCTACCTACCCCTTTTTGTACACGCTGTAATTCTAATATGTGGCGACCTATATGCGTGTTCTTTGAGTAAAAAGAACACGCATATAGGTCGCATAATTTTTCGCATAATTTTTCACATTCATTGAAAAATTTTGGGACAAGGTTTTCCAAGTCAGCAGTCAAAATGTGGCCCATAGAAAAATATATATATAAAGCTTTGTTAGAATGCTCAACAGCGAGAATCAACAAAGCCAAACCAAAACCTCTCAGGGCATGGGCAGAATTTATTGATAAACTATCTCATATAATATCTCAATAGAGAAGTCATCGTTTGTTTTAAAAGCAAGGACGAGGGACCAATTGATATCCTACAATGTGTGTTGATGCCTTACACTTTTTTATTTATTTTTAATTTTTAATTTTAATTTTATATTTATTTTAGTTTTTTATCTACATAAAATAATTTTTTAATTATTTCAAATTCGTTTAAAAAATAACATTACAGACAGCTTAATTTAAGTGAATACATTTAGTTTTTACAGTGAGTTTGCATGGTTTTAGAATGACTTGTTTTGTGTATATGTATCTTATCACAATAAATGTGACTACATTGTGCAAGATGGTCATAAATATACCACATGCAACTGCTCAACTCAAAGTAAGGCTCTGTGGTCTGTCAGGCGGAGATACTGTAGTGGAAGTGTCAGTCCTGTGAAATTAACTCTTGGTGTCCCAGCATCAAATGTGAGGCTGTCAAGTGCTGGAGCTCATTTCACACTAGAGTGCCTCTAACATGATGAGGTTTGTTTCATAGCAAGTCAGAGGTTATTAAACAAGTCCTACAAGTCAACGCACGCATGTGTGTGTGTGTGTGTGTGTACTGTATATATACAAGTCTGGAATTGTTTATTTATTGCTTATCTCCAAAGATGTAAAGAAGAACTGCTTTGCAGTCATTCTCCTTATCTAGTCTCTAGTTAACTTATCTAGTTTCCCAGAAGATTTCATCTGATTGTCTAGAGCAGTGGTTTTCAATCCTGGTCCTAGGGACCCGCCGCTCTGCACATTTTGTATGTTTCTCTTATCTGACACACTCAGACATTTCAGGGGCCTGTTTCAATAAGGAGGTTCAACCAACTCTGAGTTGACTTACCCTGAGATCGGGAAACTTGAAAAAGTTTTTGGGTTCAGCTGAATTGAGTTAGTTCAGTCGACTCTGAGTAGGTTGACTCTGAGTTTAGCGCGTGCACCACGACTATGAAAAGCCATGATCAATGGAGCTCAGAAATTATGATTCATCATGGCAACAGCACCCGGCAAAAAGACATCCGCATACTCAATACATAACTTTATTTCTTAATCACCGTTATAATATCAAAGGTAAAAAGTGGTAGAACGGTAAATTATTGAACAGATATTAATTTTCATGGTATCCACAGGCAAAAGAAAAAAACAGCAAAGCAGTTAAACATGAAGTGTAAAAACGTAATTCAATCAAGGTAAAGCTTTAAGCATAAAAGTTGCATGAGTGTAGACTACATGACTTTACAAACATTTGACATTAAATAAATATCATTCAGTGTCTATTTCAGTGCAAAGCTGCTTTTTCCAGTTAGTCTAATGCTCTTTTCATACACTGTAAAAAATGCTGGGTTGTTTCAACCCAATGTTGGGTCAAATATGGACTAACCCAACTTTTGGGTTAAATTTTGGTTACATTTTTAAATTAACTTTTAACCCAACAGTTGGGTTAGTCCATATTTGACCCAACATTGGGTTGAAACAACCCAGCATTTTTTAGAGTGTATAATTAATTATTCTCTAATCCAACCTGCTTAATTTCTTAATTAGAGTAATGAAATTAACATTTGACTTCTACTCAGCCAACAGTAAGAAGGCTTGCAAAATAATGAAGAACAGATGAAGAGGAGATGGCCACAATACCAAATAATGGAAGAATAAAATCCAACAGGAAAAAGAATAACTGTTGCTTTTGTATTTGTGGGAAATAAAGATGACCAAATAAATTTAACAGCTGTGGTGGTGGTTACGTCATATATCACAAACTACCCTTCCATCTGGCATCCTTTCATTCCATACAGTAATCAGCTTTATTTTCCATGGGTTTGTGCTCAGAAAAGAATCCCTGATGTTATATAGAAAACTATCATTTAAAAATGGTACCGCTCAAATAAATATGCATGTGGATATGGCAAAAAAATAAATAAATCAAAGTCAAAATAATCCTTTACTGATGTTAATGTAACTCCCTACGAATTAATGCGGCCTTCTCATCTACAGGATCCTGTATAAAAGGACATGCTGTTTTTGTCACTTTCACAGTGTCTTCATGATGAAAATATGTGCAATTTATGAATTTACCGCACTGCAAAAAAATGCTTTCTTACTTAGTATTTTGTCTTGTTCTTTCCAGTCAAAATATCTAAAGATTCTTAAATCAGGATGTTTTTTTCTACATAAGTCATAAGTTTTTAGTCTTTTAAGTGTATTTTTCTTATTTGGCAAATTATCTGCCAATGGGTTAAGAAAAATAATATTGTTTCCATTTGCATTAATATTATTTTTCTTGTTTTAAGTAAAATGCACTTAATTTAGTTTCCAAAATACTCACTAAGAAAAGCATTTTTTTGCAGCGTGAATAAATGAGGTATTTAAACATCGCTTACGCTTTAAAAACAGGGAGGAGACCGAAATAAATTCTGGGTTTAACAAAGAAAACCTGCTTCCGATCAGAAAGAGACTCCTACGGGGGAAGCCGTGGCCTAATGGTTAGAGAGTCGGACTCGTAACCCAAAGGTTGTGGGTTCGAGTCTAGTACCGGCAGGGATTGTAGGTGGGGGGAGTGAATGTACAGCGCTCTCTTCCACCTTCAATACCACGACTGAGGTGTGTGTGTGTGTGTGTGTGTGTGTGTGTGTGTGTGTGTGTGTGTGTGTGTGTGTGTGTGTGTGTGTGTGTGTGTGTGTGTGTGTG